TTTATTTGAAAATAAACTAGGTTACTACTAATTCTAATCCCGTTCGGGCAGATATTAAAGTTGGTCGCACATATCTTTTGGAATAGAAGTTTAGACATTGTGAGCTTCTGCATTTGGGGAGCGCCATTGAGACAACTTCAATAAGGTGTTTTTGTAGGTCCTTACAAAGCATTCTTTCCGCAAATGGTTTTTAGAGGTCTTTGGTAACTGGTTCACCCTGTGCAATCCCATTGGTGTGACCCATAGTTCGGGAAAAAACAGCGGGACTAACGGCTGGGGTCTCAAAAGGGAGAACAGTGTACCCCAGGCCGCCGCAAAGAAATAACAGTTTTTTTGTTTTTATAGTTGTTTCTACGTGGCAACCAACCTTGGGAACATACCCGCGATACCGTGAATTAAAAAAACCCTTCAGTATTATCATTTAGCTGTAGAAGACACAAGACAGGAAAATGCATGGTTAATGACCCACCTGTAAGACAGGGTCATACGCTGGCACCGATTGTTCTATCCAAACGGACACTAAGGCCGCCATCGAACGTGTTTGCTGAAAAAGGGATGTTGATACTGATTAAATATCTACCTTAACCCGTGGAAGCCCTTGTTTCACCTTTGCTGACAGGGAGTTCAACGGCGTTTGCCTATATTTCCTTTAATAAACTTGACTTGACTTGACAACCAAACAGCCGTTTAGGTAAATCAACTAGTTTTAATTAGCCAAGTATTTCCCGTAGAAATATTTTGTACTTATTAGGCAAAACCCTGTCAGTTCCATTGCTCGCAATTGCCCAGAAACCTTAGCTTCATGATCTGTTGTAAATATCTCCTGGATGTGGATTGACAGGTTACAATTGTAAGCTTATGACAGCTGTTAAGAGGGGGTTGCTACCTGGAGAAGAAGAAGAAGAAGAAGAAGAAGAAGAAGAAGAAGAAGAAGAAGGAAAAGTTGTCTTCACTCCTGATTGGACCATGGACCGAACTGCTGGTTTTTCAAGTAACTTTTATGGCAAATTTAACAATTCTAGTGTCTCAGTATTCCGGCAAGATAGGCAACGAAGTAAAGCTATTTCGGGCTGTTGGCCCTCATCAGCTACGTGCAACCAACTCTAGTGTAGCCGCTGCACTTGTCGCCCACCCGAGTTTCGAACTCCTGCCTCGCCGTCAGGGGCAGACTATTAACCATTGAGCCATTGAATTCGATATCTTGCCGGTTGTTGATCGGGAACATATAGTATTTGTTTGTACACTGATCTATCTCTCAGGATGTGCCCATCCTGGGTTAATGCTTTTGCGAATCGGGCCAACCGATTGTGTTGTTGATGAATGTTTGTAGCGCCGGCGCCTAGCCCGAAAACCGGCATAGAACTGTGCTGCTCTATCTGGGACAGCCAATTACAGATGACATAGACTACTATTGGCCAAGCAGTTGATCAAGCTGCCGCTGATTCACTCTCGCACATAACGTTTATGCCTCAACGCCCACGCCATGCCAGCAGACAGACGCGATTGCAGATCCCGGACCTGCCGCGCGTCGGAGCTTCAGACCACCACAGCTCCTACTGGGCT